TGCAGCCCCCATCCCTGGTGAGGCCCAGGTAACGTGACATCCTGATCAAGTGTGAGAGAAGGAGGGTCTACACAACCTGACCAAACAACATGGCTTCCTGCACTTGTCTCTGGAGCTGTCTCTCTCCCTGAGATCACTCCCAGCCTCATGGAGGCATTGTTGATCATGGGAGGTTGGGTCTTGTTCGAAGGGAAGGAGACCTCAGATCCCACGCTCTTTGGTTCTCTGGTGCTATGGTAGTGGGAACCAGGGCTTCGAAGACAGGAATCCACAGGGCTGGGCTCTGGCTAACATCCATGGCAAGCAGCATACCAAGGAGGACAGCTGGGATAGCACAGCTCAGCTCCCGCAGTGGCCCCTGAGGCAGACGAAGCTCGGGCCCACCACCTCTCGGCAGCTTGGACACCTTACATCACCTGAAGTCTCTGAGGTGACCCTGGCCACACCACACCAGGGCCTCGCCCTCCCAACTCCCCTTGACTGTGTGCCTCAGCAAAAGAAGGAACTGCTGATGCCAGGAGCACATGCTGCCACACATGGGCCCCCAGGAGGGTGTGACTGTGGGTGAAGAGATGTCTTTGTCTCCCTTAATTGACAGTGATTTTCTTCCGTGGAGAAACTATACAGAAGGGAGTGAATTGAACTTCAATCCACTGAATCTTATTAAACCATTCTCAGGGAAAAGTGATTTCAATAAAAATTTAAAAGGAATAGAAGCAAGTCGCTGCAAACTAGAAAATAGAGGCAGATGGAGTCAGATGGGCGCACCCGGCTTGCAGAGTCTGCTTCCTTTGCACAGTGTCCTCAGGGACAACAAGAGGTGACTGTCGTGACACTTATCTTCAAAGGGCTGGGTGTAGGTCTCTTCAAGCAAGGAGGGACCCTCAATCCTGGGGATCCCACGGAGCACACTGTATTTAGACTGTTCACACACCTTGCCTGTGGCCAAGGCTTTCATTTGCAGTCGGGGTCCAGGATTATGGGGGTCAAAGAGAATTCCCCCACCGGTCCCTAGTGCACATGCACACCCCCTCCTGGGTCCATTCCCTCCATTATTATTGAGATATAACCTACATGCTATCAAATTCACTGCTCTTGAGCGCATGCTTCAGTGGCTTTTGTGTATTCATAGCATATGTAGCCACCACCACTGCCACGAATCTCAGAGCATCCTGTTACCCCCAAAAGAACCCCTCCAGGAGGCAGTCACTCCCAAGGAGTCCCACTCCTGCACTCCCTAGGAGGCGCCAGTCTGTCTGCAGTGTCTGGGGATCCTGCCTTGAGTCTTCCATCTTTGTGTGGCTCTACTGCTGGCTCCTTTGCCTCTGCGTGTATCTCCAAGGCTCCTGATGTGGCAGCATGGATGGTCCTTCCTGCATTTTTGAGGGTCAAATGCTACTGTTCTGAGGTGTGTCCCATGTGTCTGCCTGTTAGAGGATGCTTGGGGGGGTTGTTTGTATTCTTGGCTGCTGTAGACACGTGAGATGACAGGTATGAACTTTAAAGACCACGATGGCCACATCAGTGGGAGCTCTGCTTTTCCAAGGGATCACCAAGCCGTTTTTCACAGTATCCAGGCCAAGTCTCCCCACATCAGCCACACTGCTTGGTCTGTCCCAGCTTTACTGCTGTTAGTGCCTGGAGAATTGATGGGAGTTGGTGACACGTTCTGGAGGAGCCAGTTCAGTGTCCTTACACCTCTCCCTGGTCTCCTTGGTGAACATGTGCCCACTGGTCCTGATGGGTCAATAGAAGGGTAGGCCACCATGTTGCAAGGCCTCCTTTGGTTATCTGTGTGGATGGCAGACAGCTGGTCATGCCTTGGTGCCTTCCTGGAGTAGAGTGCTCCAAGAACAGCTTTGTTTTGTAGCTGGGACAGCTGAGGACCCTTCCTTTTATACCAGGCACCCCAGGTTCTGCTGGAGGCATGCGGAGAGGTGGAGCTGGTAAATTTACAGAGGTGTTTAGATCCATCAGTTGTGTCCCTGCTGCCATGAGATCCGGCTGCATGCAGGGCTCAGCCTCTCTACTGTCCAGTGGGACAAGCCTGGTCCCAGCTGACAGCCATCTCGCCCGCACTCCCCTCTATTTCCCCTCTGGGCAAAAGCACCTCCCTAAAGGAGCCTCTGGGCTGAGGAGGAGCAGGGCATCCGCCTCCCCAGCCCCTCTGCTGTGGTTGGGTTTTCTGCATAACAGCTGGGTGTCTTGGAAATGAGAAGGTTTCTATGGTAACCAATTACAGCCCATGATTGGTGAAAAATCACAGAAAATATCCTGTGTGTGAAGTTATGCCGGGAGGCAGGCCCAGGCTTAGGTACTATGGCTTTAATTTCCTGGGGCGATATTTCTGTGAGTACTGATGGCAGACACTGTGTTCTCCGAGTCCCCGTCCCCGTCGGTCTGCTCAGCAGAGCTAGGAGACAGACAGAGTGACCTGGTGTGGCCTGCTGGCATCTGGCAGAATTTGGACCTACTGAGTTCTAGTGGGGTGTGATGCAGCCTGGTGAGGTCAGCATAGGTCTAGCGGAGCTAGAACAGCATAGTGTAGGGACTGGTAAGAGCTCGGACCAGAGCTGGGGGGTCTGGATGGGCCTCAAAGGGCAGCAGGGAGCAGGATACAGGTGCTCACAGGGCCAGGGAAGACTTAGAGGGACCTGGTGGGGCCTTCTAGGATCCAGTGGGGCTTGGTGGGGTCTGGTGGAGTCTGCTAGGGCTGAGTGGCGCCAGGGATATGGTTAGACTTGGTGGGATCTGGTGAGACCAGGAGGATAATGGGGTGTTCCATCTAATAGGGTCGAATGAGTCCTCGAGGGGCCCAGGGGCCCTAGTGAAGCCTGGGGGAAACTCTGGGGTCTGGTGCGGACTACCGGGGCCCTGAAGGGCCTGGCGAGATTTGACAGGGACTGGTGGAGCCTGGTGGGGTTCAGTTGGTGATGCCTAGAAAAACAAGCATGACTTGGTGAGAACCTGGAGGAGCCTAGTGTGGCCTCACACCTCCTCACAGCATCTCATCACAAGGAGGCAGACACCCGTCCAGAGAGGCAGGCAGGGAGAGGACCCAGGTCTTCACCATTCCGTCCCCACAGGGTCACCGGGAGCTCACAGGAGGCGTCTCCTGAGCGTGCAGGGAGTCTCACACTGACCTACTTCTCCCCTCACAGTGACAACAACCCTGTCCCTTCCCTGCTTGCGCACAGAAGCGACTCGAAGGTAGAGGCCTCCAGAGGCATCAGCCTACTGAGAGCTCTCTCCTTCCTCGGGCGAAGAGCCTTCGCTCTGATTAAAAAGCCCGGGTTTATCATTTGGGGACCGGTCCTTTTTGCTAATTAGTCCCAGCCAACTCAAGCTCCTCTCTCAGGGACCAACTCCTTCCCAAGCATCAGTGGGTGCCGGCTCCAGGCACGTGGGGCTCAGCGCAGGCTGAGGGGGAACACCCTTGGACAAACACGGCTGCATACACTGAAGGGCTGACAAGGACATGCTTGCTCACTCACACTGACACAGACCCACACTTGTGCACAGTGACCTATGGGGATGTATAGATAAAGGCACTCACGAAGGCACATGGATGCACACGCAAACACATGGATGGATGCGTGGTGCCTTCTTGTACCTTGACCCTCACACCCGGAGGAGCGCTCACAGATTCTTCATCACAGCCACACACGCTCAGTCTCACGCTGGCACAGCCAGTCACAGATGGACTCCCTCCGACTCTCACGCACAAGCAATCACACCCGGCACTCACAGCACCCCTGGATGCCCTCCTCCCCCTGTGAGCACACACACATCCATGTGGTCTTCACGCGATGCCATACCCTGACACATGCAGTCACTCTTTATGTAAAAAAAGCCGACCCCACGAGTGTGCTTCTGGGCCTGCCGCTCTGCGCCCCCCTCCCCAGCAGCCTCTGGGGAAGTTTCAGATTCCCTCCAACTTTCTGATGTGAAGCTGGTGATGGGAGCTGACTTTGAGTGGCACCTATAATCAGTCCTCAATTACCTGTGCCGGGGGGAGCGGAGCGTGGGCTGCAGCCTCCACGCCTGGCTGCGTGGGCTCCTCCACGCCTGGCTGAGTGGCTCCGCGTGCCGTTCCGGATTTTCATGTGATGTTTCGGCCTCTGTGGGTTTAGAGAGGACTTGTGCCGCCTAGTGGAGCTGTCCATGGACTCTGGGTCGGGGAAGGTCCCAGCAGGCCCCAATAAGCTATTAACCTCCTTCCTCCTGCCCCCAGTCTCACCTCCTGCCTGACAGGGCTGGCCTGGCCTGTCTCTACCCAGCTTTGCCTGAAGGTGAGAGGTCTCCAAAGTGCATCTGCATTGGAGATAAGTAGGGGGAGCGGAAATGCCAGCAGAAGGTGCCTCCTACCCAAGCTTGCAGCTTCTCCTGAGTGCCAATCAGTTCCCATGGTGAAGCTTAGGGAAGGCCAGACATGGGAGCTTCGCTTGGCTGTGTCCAGGTGGAGGGCAAGCAGGTACACTTCAACCCAGAGGACTGTGGTGTTTGGGAAGGCCAGGGCTGTCAGGCAGGCCTCTGCCTTCTGCCCCAGGTCACGGCCCAGAACCTGCAAACTTGTTCATGAGTCAGCTGGTCATGTGGCTCTGAGTCAGTTATATTGGGGGTGGGGGACAGAGGTTCTCATCACCTTTTGTATCTTTTGCGTTCTTGGGGTCTCAGCTTCTGCGTAGGCAAGTCTGCAAGGGCATTTTTCAAGATGGACACAGGGGACTTCGTCGGCTTGATCCCTTGCGGGGCCTGTGGGTGGTAACCCAGGAGGTGCCTGAGCTGTCTCTGGCATATAGTGGGCACTGTCCTTGGGGGATGCAGAGAAACACGGTGCTCCCCAGCTGGCCCAGAAGGCTTCTGGGGTCCTTTCTAGGTTCAGATGAACTTTTTCTACAGCCAGAGGCTGTCCCTGTGTAGTAGGGATAAATGTGGTCCCGGGCACAGCCCTCTTGCTGCCCCGCTGCCTGCTCACCGCTCTCTGTCTCTCTCCTCAGCTCCATGTCCATCCGCTGGCCCGGCCGCTCTCTCGGAAGCCATGCCTGGATACTGATAGCCATGCTGCAGCTTGCTGTGGACTTCCCGTCCTGTGACTCACTAGGCCCGGGCCCTGACTTCCGGCTCCTGTCACGTCCACAGAGGCCCCAGCGGCTGTGGAGTCTGCGAAGCGGACCCCCAACAAGGCTACCAACTCCAGCCTGGAGCCCCCGTGCTGCCCGAGCTGAACGTGCACACGGGCCCATACAGATGCAGACCCCTCGGGCTCGGAGGGCCCACAGGCCCAGGGACCAGGTAGCCACGCTGGGACCCAAAGGGGGACTCACCAAGCCCCCAGCTGCCACCAGGTCCAGCCCTTCCATCACCTCTGCGTCAGCCTCATCCTCCATGGTGGCTGCTGGGGCCGCAGAGCATAACGGCCTCCTCAGGCGGGGTAAGAGGCACACGCATGATATGGAGTTCAACGATTTTGACTTCCGTGGAGGCAGGCCCACGACAGAGACAGAATTCATAGCCTGGGGGCCTACGGGGGACGAGGAAGCCCTGGAGTCCAACACGTTCCCTGGTGGCTTTGGCCCCACCACGGTCTCCATCTTGCAAACACGGAAGACAACTGTGGCCACCACCACCACCACCACGGCCAGCACAGCCACCGCCATGACACTGCAGACTAAGGGGGTCACTGAGTCCCTGGATCCCTGGAAAAGGACCCCTGTTGGGGTTAGCACAACGGAGCCTTCCACCACTCCCAGCAACAACGGGAAAGACATCCAGCCACCCAGAATCCTGGGGGAGACCTCAGGTAGGAGACCGCACTGTGATTCTGCTCTGGCGTGGGCAGAGGTGGATGGAGGGTGGTTTGGAGCGGGGAGCTAATGATGCGTGCCCAGGAGTGTAGTGTAAGCAGCGGCAGAGCTGAATGAGGGTCCTAAGCAGAGCTTGGGTGCCATGTGTAGCACTCAGTGCCACCTACATGTTCATATCCAGGCTACCGTACCTTGGGGACATCACTTGCCAGTGTTAAGGGACGATGTGGCCTTCAAAATCTTCACAGGGGTCAGTCCCTTTGGGGAGGCTTAACTGCTAGATGGAACTTTCCCACCGCTAGAAATTACCTAGAATAGCAGGAAAGACTAAGGCCAGATAATGGGAAGAACTCCCCTGCTGCTGACTGAAGCACTGCAGAAAGGGTTCAGCCCTTCCCTCGGGGAGGAGCTGGGGAGGGGACAAGATACAGGGCTTTGGCTCACGGGCCGGAGGCCCTTTTCTTGGGCCATGTGGATAGTCGCAGCTCCTTGGCTCGAGATCGTCTGTGTGCCTCTGTTCATCTGCGTGCTTTATTCTCTAATGGCTGCAAAAATAGTAGCCCCGGCCACATACCCAGCCAGGGCCTGTCCCTGTGCCAGTCAAGAAAGAGAGAGCTGGCCACTAGATCCCTCCCACAACCCCTAGCGTCTGCCTCTGTTGACAGGCATGGCCTATGCTGACATGCAGGTTCACGAAGGTACATGGGCAACACTTCTCACAAACAGCAGCACTTGCTGGCACCCCAGAGTGGGGACAAGATCCCAGGACGTCAGTAAGGATGGCTGGTGGGCAGGGGTGGCCTCATCAAGATGAGTCTCAGAGTGATGGGAGGAAGGAGGGGCAGCTCCTGAGATCCACACTGGGGCAGCTGGTACAGCATCTCGGCTCCTGGTTTTTTCCTGGCTGTGTCTCCTCTGACCTTGGGCAGGCAGACATTGGCTAGCAATGGATGGGCTTTTGAGGGGTGAGCGGCCTTTGTCCTTCAGCCACCAACATCTTCCCTTCCTTTGCCGAAAAGCAGAGCGCACTGGATTTACCACATATATACATACGGAACCTGGGGCAGCATGGTGGGTAGCTCACCTGTGGAAGCAGAGCCGGAGACTTGTACCAGGCGAAGGCCCATGGCAAGACTAAGTTTGGCTGCTCCTGGGATGAGCTCTAAGGATGAATAGGCATCTCACAGCCTCCCTGGGGAACCCACAGTGTAGAAGTGGGGACTGGGTCACAGAGGGGTGCGAATGGCTGTTCATCTCAGGGACAGATGCCTTCAAGCAATTCCCATAGCGTCTGTTTTAACCTGTACCGACTCTCAGCCATAATCATAATGGAACTTGGCACTCCTCTCACTGGCTGTCACCTCCCCCGAATACGTCACTTACTGTATAGACACGGATGAGGAAACAAGTTCCCATTTGTCCCAAATTACATCTGCTATTATGGAGGCTAAACGCTGGGACGGCACTGTGAGGCTTCGCAAATTAACTCACGGTACATGGGCTGTTGCTAATGCAACCCGACAGATGCTTATCTCTGAAAAGATTTATGGTTCTTCATAATATAATCTGCTGCCAGATTAATTTGTTTAGCAAAACAGATTTAGAAGAGGGAAAATATGTATGTTTGCTTTGAATCCAGAGAAATGTAAATTCCGGCGACAATGCCAGCCTGCAGGGAAAGGAGGCCTCCAAGCTAGCCCTGTTGGGGGCTGGATGGTGGAGCCTCAGTGAAAAGATGAGAGGGCTTGTGAGGACTCCCATAACCAGTTAGCACAAAGCGGAAGTGATTCGTGTTATCTCCTGGGGAGAGCTGGCCGTGGATACTGAAGATGGGATATTTTCTTGGATGGCTGAGGGAAAGCCATATTGTCTCCCATCTTTGTAAGATTCCTGGGTAGAAAGATGCTTGGAAGGAGGTTTGACCTTTTACTCCCTAATCCTCCATGAGACATAGACCTGGGCCTTTTGCCTGCTGTGGAGAATAACCCTTGTTCACATATATGCATATGGAATCTGAGGCAGTGGGAGTGGTGTAGAGAATCTCTTAGCTGTGCCTTGTGGAGTCCTGCATGGCTGCTGTGCAGGTTCCATAATCAGGACTGAGAGCAGAGGCTAGCTCCTGCAGAGAGATCCCCATGCCTACCTGCTGTTTTTATACCCAGCTAGAATAACTTGCTTGGCCATTTTGGAGGCAGAAAAGTTCAACAGGGACTGGAGAGTCTCTTCATCTTACCAGATTTGCCCTGTTCCTGCTGATGACACCCTGAAACTTAGAGCTGGGCTTCCATGAAGTCAGTTCTTGTTTCCACAGAGGAATCTTTGTAATCTGGTTTTGGGAAATTAGTTTTGTTGCTTCTTTATAGAAGTTTAGGAAGGGTCAGGTAACATTTTCCTCTGTGTCTGTCAAAGGTCTAGGAATTCCTATTGGTAATGTGGGGAGCTTTGGAATTACCCAGAGCCTAGGGTTAAAACAGTAGCTCCTGGGACTTCTAGAAAGCGCCTCTCTCAGGAGTCAGATGACAGGTGAAATAACTGAGAGGTGCCCCTGAATTTTAGAATAGTGAGCTTGGGCAGCATGTTTATATTCTCCATGGAAATAAGAGAGATTACCACCTCACAACATTGCTGTAAGATTAAAGTACACAGTTTCCTTCATGAGTTAAGGGTCTGGCACCTTGTAGCTGTGATTTGGTGCTGTTAATGTAAGTATGAGGATGATGACAGTGATGATGATAATGTTGAAGATGGAGATGACAGTAACGGTGACAATGATAGTGTTGGTGCTAATGGTTATGATGATGATGACAATGGTAAGATGATAGTGGTAGTATGCATAGAGATGGGTAGGTAATGATGACAGTGTTGACATTGGTAATTCTGGTCATTCTGGGGATAGTCACTCTGGCGAATTTCGTGATGATGGCAATGGTGGTGGTGGTAATATTGATCGTGATGATGTTGAAGTGGGTGGGATGTTGGTGATAATAATGGTAGTAGAGCTGATGATGGTGGATAGTGGTGACAGGGATGAGGTTGGAGATGCTGGTGATAGTTGGCGATGGTGATGACAGGATGGTAATGGTAGTGATGGTGATGGTGATAGCAGTGATGATAAAGTTGAAGACAGTGATGGTGTTGGTGATGGGACTGAACAATGATGGGGATAATCGATGGTGATGATGGTGATGGTGACAGTAACGGTGATGATGGTCATAGATTTGAGGGTGATAGTGGTGGTAATGGAGGTGGTGGTGATAATGATGGTGACAATACTGATGCTAGGAATTGTGGTGATGGCATTGGCGGTGGAGATGCTGGTGATGATGGCATTGGTGGTGGAGATGATGATAATGGTATGGGAGCAGGAATGTAAATGGCACTAATAACTTCATTTCATATCCTTGTGCTGATGCTGATTGGCTACTACCAGTTTTAGGGACCCCTTTAGTGAAGTCAAAGGCCTTGTCACTGACCTTGGTGCTTTCTGGGATGGAAAATCACCTTGTTCATAGGCACAGAGGTGGCGAGCTGCAGCCTAACGTGCCGGCAGCAGAGGGACAAGTCAGCGGTTTCCTGCGGTTGAGGGAGAAGGATTCCCTGCAGGGCGGCTTTGTGCTCACCTCAAAGCCCTCTCAGTGGTCATGCTCTGAGTCAGAAATCATAGCCTCCCAGAAGAATCAGGAAGGCTTTGCATGGGTTTTGATCTTAAGCTCATGAAAGACTTTATGGGAGCTAAAACCAATTGCTTTTGGCTAATGTATGTGTGACATGGCACTGGGAAGATGGGTGTTTGGCTATGGTTAGTGGTCATTTCAGGCTCCTGGACCTGCATGGTAGCATGTGCCCCATAATTCTCAGAGTACTCACAGGAATTAGACACTTTCCCCAGCTGTGAAATTCAGGTCTCTCAAAAGGTGAGCCACAGGGGGCAGCCGGGCCTGGAAGATGGGGATCTTCACTGAAGGTCTCTGTCCACCCGTCCAGCCCTTCTTGTGGCTCCAGCCCCTTGAGAATGTAATGGCTTAGATGCCACTTGAGTTCTGCTTCCTAATTTTTACATTGCAATCCACTCATGTGTTTCCCAGGATGATTTCTAAGTTGCTTTTGGGCTTTTCGTGTCTTTTGTAAGCTATAGAATTTAGGGTTGTTTTCTCAGTGTCTCAGTGGCCAACTGGCCTGATCAGGGGGACAGCTGATCCTGGGATAATATCTGGTGACAGTAAAGTGTTCTCTAAATGCTGGAGTTGACATGGAAGGAACTTAGAAACAGTTACACCCATAAGACACACTCCTTCTGTTCAGAGCCCCTGTGGAGATTTGAACAGTGAGCCCCTTGGAATTAAGTTGCTAGGTGTTTGCTACCAGGAAAGTGGATGTGTCTTTAATTTAATGACGTCTGAAGCAAATGGCTCGTGAACTTCAAAAGTTTTAAGTGGCTTAATTGGGATAAGAGCAGCAAAGAACAAAAATGTATCAAGCTATGCAGCATCTTAAACTGTAGCCCACAGCCTCCAGAGTCTCTGGCTGGACTGTTTGGGTCAACAAGTCCCCTACAATATGCGAAAGCTATGGGGTTGGAAGATGCCAGGCATGGCTGTTTATGGTCACAGATGAGGGTGCAGGATGGCTAGCCACCCTGTGGTCCCACAGAGTCTGTGGGAACAAGCCCTTCTTCTGCTTTTGCTGAGTGAAGGTGGAGGGAGGCTCATTTCTGCTCTCCACTCCCTCTGTGGAGGGCTCAGTTAGCCTTCTTTCATTTCCCATATGTGTGCTGCGGCCTTGGTTTCCTGCACTCAGAGCATCTTCAGCTCCACTTGTCCCCCAGGGCCTTGTTCTCCTTCTGAGAACGTATCAGGAGTGGGAGGCTCTCCAAGACTGACCCCTCCCACTGCCCATCCTGGGCACAGACTGCCCGAGAGCTGCTGAAACTGACTTTCCCCAGCATTTCTCTTGTGGGGACCTGGAGAACTATCTGCTTGCAGAGGGTGAACTACAG